TTGGGATTAAAGGTGTGTGCTACCACACCTTGAAGTCACAGAGGTCAACTACCTCTGTCCCTTAAAGTCTCAGAGGTCAACGTACCTCTTCCTCCCAGGCATTGGGATTAAAGGTGTGTACCACCACACCCAACTACTCTCTTTCTTTCCTTTTAACTTTAAGAACTTTAACTTTCAGCCTGCATATATTTTTAACACACTGTAAACCATTTAGAGGTTTTCTTCATCTTTGAATCTCTCTTTACTGTATGTCTCTCTTTTTCTGACCACATGAGTCTTTAATGGGTAGGACTAAAGCTGTGGCTTTGACAGTTAGACCCAGCCCATTCCTTAGCTTTCCAGGCTCATGGCTGAGATACCAGCCAGAGCTGTGTTCACTGCCACAACTCTATGGCATCTCAAGGTCCTTGCTAGCAAGCAAGCTGCAGCATTCTGCTCACAGACCACACTCAGTCGGACTGCCTGCCTGAAAGAGTCAGAGATTGCCCTGGCAGGACAGCCTAGAAAGCCAGCATTTTAAAACGGAGCAGCTTTTTTCCTGCAATGGCTGAAAACTGAAAACCATGCATTCAGCTTTTCATCAACACCATTTAAGTGTTTCGTGGCAGGACCTCTTTAAAGAGCCGCAAGGTTTTGCAGCTAAAGCTGAGTCAGGAAGCCTCTCTTAGATGAGAGCAGTTGCTTGCCTCTAGCAAGCAGAGCAGACCTGAGAAATTGCTGCTACCAAGAAAACATGCTTTACTCTATTCTTTTCCAAGCTTTCTCAAGCTTTCTGTGAATTCAGTTATCCACGTCTGGGCGCCATCTGTAACATGACGGGGGCCAGCTTGTTGGGGTATCTGTCCCACCTAGTACTCCACAGCCAGCAAGTCCCAAAGAAAATCACGCACAAGACTCCATAAGATTATAAACTGATTGGCCCATTAGGTCAGGCTTCTTGTTAACTCTTATAACTTATATTAACCCATTATTCTCATCTATGTTAGCCATAATGGCTCCGTACCTTTCTCAGCTGGGCATGTTACATGCTGCCTCTTTGGTGGTCTGCGCAGGAGTGGCCGAGGGACTTCCTCCTTCCTGGAATACTCCTGTTCTCATCGCCCCGCCTCTACTTCCTGTCTGGTTGACCTGCCTATACTTCCTGCCTGGCCAATCAGCGTTTTATTAAAATACATGATTGACAAAATACAGATAATTCTCCTGCACCAGGAAGGGAAATACAGAATGGATACAGTGGTCACCAGCCCATCCCGTTCAGTTCAGACCCCAGCTCTAGCACCAATCAGTGTGGATGATCATAGGACCTCGGTTTTCAGCTTTGCTCAACTTTAGTCCCCCACCCCCAGCCCATCTACAGAATAGATTGCACTCTATCTCGCCTCTCAAGTTTCTATGAGAAGTGAAGAAGCCTATTTCTGGGATACTTAGCCAGCATCAGGCTCATGATCCAAACCAAATCACTCACTTTGGAGAAATGGATTTGTGAGCAGTTGCTCCTCTGTCACTGTATTTTGTCCACACAAGGACTTCTCCCTTTTATATTCAAGAGGGAAATTAGAGAGAAGGGAGGAAAAGACGGAGAAAGGGAAATGGAGGAGAACTGGAGGGAGAGGAGGTGGAAATAGGGATAAGGGAAGAGCTCCCTCCCTTGCTACCTCTATTTTGAGAGACCATTAACAGAGTAAATTAGTAACTTCTTACATGTTATATACTTCAGCAAAACAGAATTCCACCTTAAGAACTCTACCCTATGTCTAGGTAAGTACAATTCACCTTGGCTTGGAGATACGTATTAGACAAGCATCCTCTGATGCCCTGCTCTAGCCAGTGTGTGGGATGGGGTCTTGTTCTGTAGCTGTTCTTATTCCCCCTCCACCAAACTCTCCAGGCTGATAAACAGACCACTTATTCTTTCTTTGTAGGTAATACCGTGCAACTTCCCCTGACTGTTACATCCGTACGTTTGCCGCAACGTATAGCTTTGTGTTGCCTCTTCCACGTCTGAATCTCTTCCACGTAGCAGGGATGCTTATTAATCAAACACCTTGCCTTATTCACTCCCTCATACCCTCCACACTGGGAGGTGTACACTAGGGCCACAGGAAAAGCTCTAAGCCAGATAGCTCTGTGTTCACTCAAGAGTACATGTCCAGTATCGTGTTTCTGTCTTTTATATCACAGAGAATGACTTGTACTTGATCGTCAACTGTCAGTGTAAATGATAGTCGTCAAACTGAAACTACACTAAACCAGATAGGGAGAGAAAACCAATAATGATTGATGATAGGGAGGGAGGCAGACAGGCAGACAATAGATAAATAGATGACTGATAGATGATAATATTATATAGATGATTGGTAATTAGATTGTAGATAAATTGTAGGTAGGTAGATAGATAAGTAGATGACTGATGATAAACAGAGGTAGATGACAGGTAGATAAATAATAGATGATAGATCTATTGCTGGATTGATTGATAGATGATAGGTGTTTGAGAGATGATAAATAATGATAGATATGTAGATAGGTAGGCAGATAGATGGAAGAGAATAGGCTCATAATGGTACAGGAGAATTGTCTGTATTCTGTCAATCATGTATTTTAATAAAACGCTGATTGACTAGGCAGGAAGTATAGGTGGGTCAACCAGGCAGGAAGTAGAGATGGGGCAATGAGAATAGAAGAAGGTTAGGGAGGAGGAAGCTCCCTCCGCCATTCCTGCGCAGACCACCGAAGCAGCAACATGTGAGCTGACAACTGAAAAAGGTACCAAGCGATATGGCTAACACAGAGTAGAATTATGGGTTACTGTAAGATGTAAGAATTAGTTAATAAGAAGACTGAGCTAATGGGTCAATGAGTTTACAATCTTATGGAGTCTTGTGAGTGATTTTCTTTGGGACTTGCTGGTTGTGGGGTACCGGGCAGGACAGATACCCCAAGCAGCTCGGCCCTCATGTTACACATATCACTTAAAACAAGAAGCCAAGAAGACCTATCTTCAGTTCCTTTTGGCCTGGCTAATCAAGTGCTCTCTGTATACATGTTTCCCCGTATGATTCCCTCCACCACTAGGTTCCACTTTGTGCTTGCTGAGTTCATTCTCAGTCTCATCAAAAGCTGCTTCAATAACTCCAAGCTCACAGGCTACCCTCCCGACACTAGGGAAACAAAGCTTAACTCATGACTCTCACTGGGTCTTATGACCCATCTGAGCCAATTGCTGAGTTTCTGATAGGCTGGCCCTAGGAAGAAGAGGATAAGGATGACTTCAACATTTCTGTGAGTAGAAGAAGGATGGCTTCTGTGCTAGCTAGTTCTTAGGTCAACTTGACACAAGCTAGGATCATCTGGGAGGAAGACATATTAACTGAGAAATGGTCTCCATAGAGCTAGCCTGTAGACAAGCATATGATATGTTTTGTTGGTGAATGCCTGAGGAGCGATGTGTGAGAGCCCAGCTCACTGTGGCCAGTACCACCTGGGTAGTATAGGAGCAGGACAAGTCATGGGGAAGAAGCTAGTACGAAGTACTCCTCAATGGCCTCTGCTTCAGTTCCTGCCCCCAGGTCCCCGCCTTGAGTTCCTACTCTGACTTGCTTCAGTAATGGACTATGACGTTGAAATGTAAGTGAAATAAACCCATTCCTCCCCAAGTTTCTGTTAGTCACAGTGTTTTATTGCAGCAGGAGACATCCTCAGACAATTTCCCTTCAAACCAGAGAGGAGTTAGATGGAAATAGCAATAGATGTTGAGCAAGAAAGCAGCTGTCAACTCTGCAGCAATGACAACCTTTAAAAATGACTTCGGATGCAGCCAACAAACCCACCCAGCGCAGTCTCCCCTGATTGCAGAACATTCTCCTGTCAGGAGATGTTCATGCTGACATCTTGGGCTCGGGCCCAGGAAGTGTGATCTTCTTCAACACTATCGACATGGCAGCTGCTGGTTCCCTACATCCTCTCCTTTCTCTTCCAGAGTCACAAGCGTCATGGATGTAAAGCCGCCTCACCATCTGGGTCCCTCAGTCCTTCACTGTCCTCAGAACCTTGAAGTTTCCAGAACACATTTCGGATTTCTTTTCCACAGAGCACTGAGCTGTTCACACATCAGCAAAAGCGGGTAGCAGCTTAAGACGCAACACACACAGCCCATCATGTCTTGGACTGAACTTCAGACACATGGTGCTCCTTCGTGCTTGCCAGGCACAGTCACAGGAAGGAGTCGCCTCATGCTGGGATGCACAAGGCTTGTTCCACCTGGCCGTGGATGCTGCTATGACACACGTACACTTATAGTACCTGGGTCTAAGTTAAAAAATTACCACATGTTGAGTAGTCTATTCTTTTTCTTTTCCAGCACCCTTGAAAGAAAGAAAAAAAGAAAGAAAGGAGGGAGGGAGGGAGGGAGGGAGGGACGGAGGGACGGAGGGAGGGAGGGAAAGAGAGAAGACTAACTATCAGGCATGGGGACATATACCTATAATCCCAGCACTAATATGGTAGAAGCAGGAGAATCAGGAGTTCAAAGCCACCTACATGGTAAGTTCTAGGCCAGTTTGTCCTACTGAATAAAACCACTTCAAACAAGGAAAGAGTGCGAGGGTGGGGGAAAGCAAGAGAGAAGGGAGGGAAGGAAACGAAGTTGGAGGTAGGATCAGGGAGAGGATTCTGGGAACTTATTGTCTAAGCTAGGTGACAAGCAATGTGTGCTTCTTGGATTACTAACAGGTCTTTTGAATGATTTTATAAATTTAAAAAGTCAAAAAACACAGTTCAAGTCACAAATTCAAAACCCTGAGCCAGTGAGATGGCTCAGAGGGTAATGTCACTTTCTCCCAACAACCTGAGTTCAATCCCCGGGACCCACAAGGCGAAAGAAGAGAACCAACTCCTGAAAGTTGTCTTCTAACCTTACACACACACACACACACACACACACACACACACACACACACCATTTTTAAAATTTTAAAAACCAGCTCGATGACACCACTCACCCAACTGGTTCCCAAGCTCTTTGTTTGGTCCACAAAGTCCTTTGTGATTTGGCTGACTCTTCTTTCTTCTCACGCATTACAGAACGTTTATGTCCTCCCAAATTCACTTGTCCCACCATCAGTGCAGTAGCATCTGGAGATGGGAGTCTCTGGAAAACAATTAGAACCAGAAAAAAACTGTAAGGGTGGAGCCCTCGCTGTGATATCAGTGCCCTTCCAAGAAAGTCAGGTCTAGTAGTGCACACCTTTTATTCCAACACTTGGGAGGCAGAAGCAGGAAAATTTCTGTGAGTTCAAGGCCAGCCTGCTTTACATAGTGAGCTCCATGCTAGCCAGAGCAATAGCTATGCAATATGTGTGGTTAGATCCTGTTGAAGAAGAGGAAGAGGAGGAAGGGGAGGAGGAGGAAAGGAATAGGGGAAGTAGGAAACGGAAGAGGAAAAGGTAACATCTCTGTCTCTCTCTCCTGCGTCCATCACAAGGACATGGTGAGAAAAACAGCCACCCACACATGAGGAGAGTCCTCACCAAGGGTGAATCCGTTGGTAATTTGACCTTGGACTTCTGTCCTCCAGAACTGTGGAAAATAAATGCCTGTTGTTTAAGCCATCAAGTCTTACTGGAATCATAACCTCATTCCCACGGCTCACTGCAGGCCTCCAAAATGCGTCAGGTTCTCCCTTGACCCACATTTTGGAAGATGTCTTCCCTCCATCGCCCTAATTCTTATCCACACTGTACTTAGCTAAGCAAGCTAACAGCAAGCCCTGATAGCACAATAACTTACGAACCCACATTTCATGGCCTGGGAGATGGCTCAGTCAATAAAGTGTTTGCTAAACAACATGAGGATTTGAGATCAGAATGAAGGGAACATGGGCTCACTCGAGCATGTTTCTCTGACAGCCGTTGCCCTTCTCCCCTATTCCCTTTGCCTTCCTAAAAACTGTTAGATTGTATTCCTAAAGCTAGCCGCCAAAGCGGAGTCCCTTATTTGGCCGCTTCCTCCTCATGAGATTGACTACCAAGGTCCAGCTGTCAAAGTATTGAAGTCCAGCAATCAAAAGCATCTTTGACTCAGCTAATTAACATGCCCAATTAAAACTAAACCCCTTATCTGTCTTAGTTAGGATGATGATGGCTGTGGAATAGACACCATGACCACAATTAAAGGTGTGCACCACCACACCAGGCTCTAAGTCTTTTTATAGTTCCTTTTCACAAGTTGGAAACTTAGCTGGGTAAGATCGTGCCCTGAGGTCACCACTCCCTTTACTTGATTTCTTAATCCATTTATCTCCTTGAACATCGAATTTAGCTCCATTCTACTTCCTGGTGCTCCTTTTCTCCTCAAAATTTGTATTTTGTAATTTACCCCACTCAGCTTGCTCCTTTTCATTACAAAGTTTCATCAACGTTACCACTAATTACCACACAGCAGCGTCTATACTAGGTGGTTTTGAGATATCTTCTGCCAATGGAATTAATCTCCAAATCCTTCACTTTAATCTCAGGCAGACTCTTCAGTCAAGGGCAAAAAGCAGGCACATTATTCACCAAAGTATAACAAGAACAGTCTCAAGCCTACATACTAACATTCTTCTCCCCTGAAACCTCTTGATGCCCAGAGTTCATTAAATCACTCTTAGAACTACTGTCTTTCATGCTTCTACTATTACGGCCCATTAAGCAGCACTTAAAGCATTAATTACACTGCTCTCCAAACCCAAAGTACCAAAGTTTTAATTCCTCAAAAAAAAAAAATCACCAGGCCTGTTACAACAATACCACAGTCCCTGGTACCAACTCCTGCCTTAGTCAGGGCTTCTATTGCTGTGAAGAGACATCATTACCATGGCAACCCTTATAAAGAAACCATTTAATTGGGGTGTTTGGTTACAGATTTAGAGGTTCAGTCTATTATCACCATGGAGGGGAGCATGGCGGCATGCAGGCAGGCATAGTGCTGGAACTGGGAGCGCTACATCTTGCTGGCAACAGGAAGCCCACTGAGACACTGGGCAGCATCCTGAGCATACAAAACCTCCAAGCCCAACTCCACAGTGACACACTTCCTCCAACATGACCTCATTCTATAATGAGTCTTTCCTTGTCCTGCCAGCCGGCTCCCAAATAATGACACAGAGGCTTCTTATTAATTATGAATGCTCAGCAGGTTTGTCTCAACTAGCTCTTACAACTTAAGTCAACCCATGTATATTAATCTACACCCTGTCATATGGTGTTACCTCTCTATCATCTTGCATCTCTCCATCTGGCTGGCGACTCCACCTCTCTTTTTCCTCAGAGTCTTCTCTGTTTCCAGAAGTCACACCTAACTGCTTCCTAGCTATTAGCTGTTCAGTTTTATATTACACCAATCATAGCAATACATTTTCACACAGTGTACAAATATTCCACCACATACCCACTCCAACAAAGCCACAACTCCTAATAGAGCCACTCCCTATGAGACTATGGGGGTCAAGTACATTCAAATTGCCACATCATCCTAACAGGGGGTTCCCTTTTGTCTTTATAAACCACCATTTTCCTATGTGCCACTTCTGTCTTCTCCCTATCCAGAGGCATTTTGTCCCTGTCTCCCCTTCCTTTCTCCCCTCCCCGAACAGATACTCCTTACCCATTTCCCTGTTCCCTTCCCCTTCTCTCTCAACCTCTATTGCCTGCCATTGTCTCTCAGTCCTTGCCTTCTGTCCCTTTGGGGCAAATAAATCCCCTTCATGCTGAGAAACTTGATCATGGAGGTCCTGAGCTAATACCTTTCACAGAAGCCCAACACCCACATGAAATGTCACACTTGTCAGAGCACACTTACTGTCTCAGCACTGGGAGGTGGGGACAGTAATGTCCTCACTGGCCAGCTGAGCTATCCAATCAGTGATCTCCAGATTAAGCTCTTGTCTCAAAAGGTAAGGTAGAAAGTGATAATGGAAAACACTGGCTGTCAACCTCTGACCTCCACACACATATGCCCAGGTACACACACACACACACACACACACACACACACACACACACACACACTTACACACACATACGTTTCTTTCTGATATAACAGTTCTGAGATGAGGAGCCCATGATAGTGGGTCACTCTGTTCCTCATAGGCACCTGCCTGGCTGAGGTGGGGTCACCACCCCACACAAAGTCCAGCCAGCAGTCAGGAAGAAAAGTTAGAAGAGGCATCTCTTTGACCAAGCACGTGACAGCAACTACTTAAAGGCAAAATTATTTCATTCGCTTCAATTACAGAGGATGTGGTCTGGGTTGCTTGGCCCCATGCGCTTATACAAAACATCACGGTGGTGGGAGCCTGGGACAGAGAACCATCTTTGCTTCACATGGAAGGAAGGCAAAGAAGGAAACAGAAAGAGGCTCATAGCAAGACCTCGTCCCCCAGTATTCTACTTCCTCTTGTCAAGTCCTACTTCCCAAAGTTCCCCAAATCTCTCAGAATAGCACTCTCAGCTGAGACCAAGGCTCCTGTATGTGAGCCTTTGCAGCAGCAGTGGAGGAGGGGCGGGGAACAGTTCATATCCAAACCTCAGCACCCACATCGTTTCCACGTGTTCTATTGGTAAGAGGCTGGTCACATGATTGCTTCTAACTGCTTGGGTGGTGGGAAATGTGGTCTCTGTCTAGACAGTCAGTTCTAGAGTGAAGGAAAGAGAGAACTTCAACAAACATGAAATTCAGGTCTTAGTTTCTCTGACGAAGCCTTCTCCAGCCCTGATCTTTCTATATATTACATGCATGTCCTTGCTGGGAGCGCTTAGGACCTTTCTTGTCAGTCATCTCAGTAGCTGCTCAGTTCCTGCTGCTCCTGCTGCCCGACATTGTCTCTGCCTTCAGGTAAGACTCTGCGCATGCTCAGTGTGTGACTCTGTGTTTGGGCTTAACGTTTACTTAATCATATTGGATACCTCTTGAGTTAAAGTATGGAGGATTTGCTGTGACTTGAAGGCTCTGCGAAAAATGAAAATAATGCATCTCCTGTCCAAAACTAAGACTTTTAGGAAAGTGACAATAGGGCATTATGGGAAGCATAGAGTCTCTCCTAGCACCCGACCCTTTGCTCTTTCACATCCGTGAAGTGGCATCCGCACACAGCACTTGTTTGAGGAATTCTTTCCCTTAGGGAGCTATAAACAACATCTACACCCTTCTTAGAAGGTCCCAATGGTTAAGTCAAAGTTTGCCCAGCGGTGCCAGTGAGTTCATTCGGTTCATTCACACTTACCGAGCAATGACCGCTCATGGAAGTCTGGGTAACTCTACAGCAGTCCCACGGAAAGGCCTTCACCCAGCATGGATGACGACTGCTTAGACGGAGTCCTCCATTGGCCTCCTCCAGCCTACATATTCTAGCAGCTGAGCCCTCTCTGAAACCCAAGGGCACCCGTAACTGCGGTAAACTCCCACACAAATGGCTGTGGGGAGTGGCCGGAATCCCAGGCGAGGGGTCAATGATTCTCCCTACTCCTTACTTTCTTTTTTTTCCTTTTTATTTATTCTCTGTGTCTTTTACATCATGCACTTCCATCCCATTCATTTCCCCATTCCTCCTTATCCACCCTCTGCCTTTGCAACCTCCCCCCAAAATAAAATGAAATAAAGTTTAAGAGAAAAAAAAAAAAGAAAGAGGAAAGGGGGGGGGATCAGTCTTGTCCATGGAAGCTGTAGTGTGACACATTGAGTCACACAGTAAATCCTCTGATCCGTTTATTTTTACTTGCAAGTGTTCATGGCAGAGTGTCATTTGTCTGGTTTGAGGCCTCTGATTTCTGCTGACCAACCCTGCAACTACCCAAGCCCAGAACCAGGTTATGAGTTAGCCCACCCCCTACTTCTGTGAGGGGCTGTCTCACCTCCTCATTGGGATGGGTTCTTGTAAGCAGTCATGACTATTCTGAAGAAGATGGCTGCTGTTTTGCTTAGAGGACCTCGTTCCACAACAGTCCTTCAACAGGGAGTAAGTTAAACGGAACACCAGGAAAGATTACGGGAAAAGCCGCACATCTACTGAATACTCGCGTGCAGAGAGGAGATGAATCAAACCACTCCTGTCAAGAAACAGTGGGAAATTTGGTCTCCCTGGCCCTACAGATTAAATGCTATAGCAATCTTCTGGGTCTTCCCAGGCCCGCCCTCCAGAGGGTGGGACTCAGTGCTTCACATGTGGCATCTCATCTCCTAAAAGATTGTCTGTCAGCAGATCTTAGAAATCCCTGCCGAGCGCTTTCCCAGCATCTGCTCACACACCTCCAGCAATAAGAGCTTCCTACCTCTCCGGGCTGCTCCTTCTGGTTTTGACAGCTCTGTGGATGAAGTTCTTCTGAGAGCCAAAGTCTACTTCCCTGTGACTTCCTCCTGCTGGCTCAGAGCCACACATGGGAACAGGATGACGTGCCTGTGTCCTGCACGTGTTTGTTTAAAGGGCTTTGGTATTTCTCTGCCTGGAAGCTGAACGGTCCACACGCTGCACAGGAGTGAAACACTGGCCTGGGAGTGTTTGCCTCAGACGAGTCTAAACTATTTTGTTTTTCTTTCCCTTTGATTGGTTGCCAACACCGAACAGTCTGCAGAGTTCATATAGAATATAGAATTCAAGCTTGGGAAGCTCGGAAGCGCTGACAGTACTAGACACTCTTGCACTAAGGACACTGAAGGATGGATGTTGGGTGAGCAAATGCCAATGCTACCACAGCCTGCTGCTTTGCGTACTTGGGACCCATGCATTCATTGAACCCAATGTCAGAGTCCTTGTAAAGGAAAATGTTTGTGTGCCTTCCCTAGGAGAGAATAGAAGAAGCCATTGAGTTGTGAGCCCAAGACTTTAGGTAGACTTTGGGTACGGTCATTCAGTGGGATGATTTTCCATTTGTCTTTTCTTCTTCCTGTTCCGAATGCAGAGGCGCTGGCAGGTACTCCAGCCACTACAGTGTGACCATGGCAACCCTAAGGATGGAAGCCACGCATAGGAACATCAAAACAAGCAGTAATATTCTGGTTAAGAGTGATTAAAGATGCTTCTCATCAGCTCACTCTGCCTCTAAAATCCTCTTACCTGAGGTAAGGTAGGAAGCAAACAGTGTGCCCCACTTAACCACTCCTGGGTGGGGTAGTTGTTCTCAACAGCCCAGTGCTGTCCACCCGGGGATACACCTTCTTGTCAGTGCCTTTTCTTAATCTGAGGTTTTACTATGGAAAAGTCTATGCATATACGCATGCAAATCGAACAACCAAAAAGATTGAATTAGGATCTTACATCTTGTCATCTAATATATTAGTTCAAAGTAGATTTTAGTCCTAGTTACACTAGCTAGACTTACAAAACTCTTAGAAGAAAGTATAAGAGTAAATCTTCCTGATGCCGGTTTTATCAAATAATATTGGGTCTGGTACCAAAGGAATAAACTATAAGGGGAGAGGGAAGAGACTGGCGAGACACTTCAATGGTAAGAGCGCAAACTCTGCTTACAGACCTGAATTCTGTTCTTGATGCCCAAATTGGGTGGCTCTTACCTGTAACTGTAGCTCCAGGGGATCCAGTGCCTTTTTCTGGCCTCCACAGGCACCTGCACCAAAGTGTCCATACCCATATGGAGACCCATGCACATAATTAAAACTGAAATAAATATTTTAGAAAAGAAAACATACATCAATATTCAACCATAATCCAAAGCTTTTGTCTTTCAAAAGGTACACTTGAGCAAGGGAGCTGATAATCACCAAGTGGGAAGCTATTTCCAAAGTACTGCCTGGTAAGAGCGCACGTCCAGAAACAAGAAGTACTGCAACACTATTTCAAAGATTTAGAGGGTTTGGTTTAATGTACAAAGAATTTGAATAGACCCGAAGAAGATACACAAATGGTCAGTAAGAAACACATGTAAACTTGTTCAACCACATGAGCTGCCACAATGAGAGACCACCTCACACCTACTGGGACAGCTAGGAGCAAAAATAGCAAGTATTGGCAAGGACAGGGAGGAATTGGAAGCTCTGGGAGTTGCTGGGAATTGAAAACGGTGCAGCTGCTGTGGAAAACCGTCTGGCAGAGCCTCAGAAAGTTAAACATAGAATTACCATGCGATCCAGGAACCTCACTTCTAGGTATGTAGCAAAAAGAATTGAGACCAAGGACCCGGAGTTTCTCTACCAACCTCTATAGCAGCACAATTCACAGCAGCCAAATACAACTGTCCAGCAACAGAAGAGGGGATCAGACGAGATGAACGCATAACAATTTGTAAAGTGGCGTTTCCCAATAAGAAGTGAAATTCCAGCACATGCTACAGAGAGAGAGAGAGAGAGAGAGAGAGAGAGAGAGAGATTAAATTTTTAAAAACATTAAAAACTGGCTAAAGTGATAATGTTATCTATCATCTATATATGCATGATCACAATAAAATTTAAAATTATAAACTAAAGATGATATTGTTTGTTGCTGAGAATGTGGGAAAACCAGAAGCCTGCCATGTTCTTGGTAGGGACGTGAAAATGTGTATTCGCCTTCAAAAGGGTCTGGCAGTTCCTTGAGATTCTAAACATGGACTCTCACAGGACACAGCAAATCTATGCCTAGAACTACTCAGGAAGACCTGTATCCACGAGAGTGTTTACAGGAGTGCTCAGAGTAAAACTGCCTAAAATGGAAAGGACCCATCACAAAATGTGATATATACACAACATTGAACAACAGAAAAGAACGGGGTGTTGATATCATGCGGATTAACTGGGAAAACCTGGTAAGCGAAGCCAGTCGGGCAAGACCATATGTCTATCACATGCATCCATGAACATGTGACAGTCCAATGTGATAAAGAGAGAAAATAGGTTCACGCTTGCCAGAGACAGGGAAGGGGGCCATACGGCGTGGCTGTTAATGATCATAGCATTATGTTTTGGATTTTCTCTTTTTAAAATTAGATTTTTAAAATATTTATTTCCTCTGTATGTGTGAATTCTTCTGCTTAGACGTATGTGCATGCTCTTTGTGTGTGACTGGTACCCTCAGAGGTCAGACGAGGGCGTCAGAATCTCTGGAACTGGAGTTAGAGACGGTTGTGAGTTACCTTCTGGGTGCTAGGACTCGAACCTGGGTCATCTACAGGTGTTCTAAACTGCTGAGCTGTCTCTCCAGCTGCTTTTGAAAACAGATTTGATGACAGGATGCCATGACGAATACTGGTGGTCAACTTGAGTGGATCTGGAATCAACTAAGGGGCAGGCTTCTGGGGCAGGTCTTTAGAAGGGCACTTAATGAAAGGACTAACTAAGGGAAAACGATCATCCCCTGTAGTAGGCCTCACCTTCCAAAGGTGGGGCCATATATAAGGAGGCCCAAGGGGCAAGCTGCAGCTTTTTGCATGCCTACTTTCTTTTCTCATTCATAAGAGCATCTAGTCTGCTGTTGCTGCAACATCAGAACCAGCTTACTCAACCTTCTAATATGGACTGAAGACCAATGACTCTCCAGGCATCACCCAGATCATCAAGGGCAGATTGGGAGCATTGAGTCATCAGCCTTGGACTAAGCAGCTACCAGATCCTCAGCCTCCTCCATGTGTAGCTATGGAGCTTACATAGTGCCCCAGAGGGTGCCAATCTAACAAATCCCCTTTTAATATATATTCATTCTGTCGGTCCATGCTTTTAAGGAGCCCTGACTAATACTTAGGGCTCTCTGTGTAACTCAGCCTGGCTTTGAACTTGGGCTCCTCTGAAGCACACCTCCTCAGTGCTGGGTTTATGAGCCTGTGCCAGCAGACCTGTGAAGTGTCTTTGGTGGGGACAGCAGGGTGTGTGAAACATATAGAAGGTGGTGATGATTTCTTCACTCTTTAAAACTCAAGTGAGTATGCACTTTGTATGGTACCTATCATATCTCTGTGTCTGAACAAATCAGATTTGTGAAGGGGAGTCTTGTGTACCCACCCTAGCCTCAACACTTACTAACCCCTGGTCAGCTTCTCTCCTTCTACACCCACCTTTGTCTTCATGTCCCCATTTTCTGGAGAAAGTCCCCAGCCCCCTGTCAGAGAGAATTGTGTGGCCGACTGGCTGGGTTGTTCCTGGTGCACACAAGTTAAGCATGGCTTTTCTGCCTTCTTGGAAATATTGCAAAGGAACGAATATCTCCAAGTACATCTCTTTCTGTGCATGCGTTTCTGCAGCTAGGAACCTTGACTTCTTTAGCCACAGTCGATGCCTGGCTTGGGTACTTACCCATCCCCAGAAGGATTCTGGATGATGTTGTGGTGTCTAAAACAAAGAGGTTGGAAATTGGGTTTGGCACTCAGTAAGATGCTTGTTGCACAAGTGTGTGGAACTGAGTTTGAATTGCCAGTGACCACAGAAAAGATGGACATAGCGGGAGATACCTGTAATCCCCTCACTGGGGAGGCAAAGGATGTGAGGGGGCTTGTTGGCCAAACCAGCCTAGACAAATTGGTGAGAATCAGGTTCAGAACGAGTCTTCGTGAAATGGGTATGATTAAGAAAAAGACTTCTGACCTTAACCCCTGCTTATGCTCTCTCTCTCTCTCTCTCTCTCTCTCTCTCTCTCTCTCTCTCTCCCTCCCTCCCTCTCTCTATTAAAGATTCATTCAAATGAGAACTTCCTCAGAAGACTAGAAGCCTCCAGACAACAACAGAAAAACTCAGCTTGTTCTTGGGTGAGAATGATTAGTCCTTCTCAGGGAAAACCCAGAGTGCCTAACAGTAAGGCTGGGTGTAGCACTCAGTTGATGTCCTCTAGCCTGGACCCTCAGTCTGATCCCCCAATGCCCTTAGGAAAGGCATCCCCTTGTTCCTTTACCGACTCAGAACCTGTTGTCATAGCCGTTACAACATGAACACACCACAGCTCCTCCCTCTGTCCTGAATAAACTCCACTTAGCATCTCCACTCACCCCATATTTTTATTTAAAAATAATCAATGATTTTTCCTTGGCCTCGGTCTTTGGAATTCAGCTGGCTAGCAAACAGCTTGCCTGTGGTACTTGATCCAGGCCTCTGCTCTTATTAAACCCGTGACCTTCAACCACACACTCCAGCTGCTTTCCCTGTAAAATGGAGATAGTCATCCTCACATATGTGTGGGCTGAAAGGATGGCACGATAAGGCATTTATCTCAATGGCTGACGCGAAATAGTCATTCAGCGGTTGACTACGGTCCCCACTCTGCTTGCCACCCTTTGCGAATGCATTTTGAGTTAGATCTAGTGTGGACATCCTTTCATCTAGGCGAGATGGCATTCCTGTCGTTATTGCTTTGACTTTAAGGAATGCACTCATTTCTTTTTGAAATATGTTACTGTTCTATGCTAGTCATAAGCCTTTATTGAGTGCTTGCCCTGTAGCAGGCAATGTACCAAGAGGTTTTAGTGTTCCCTTTCATCTCGCCTCACTATTAACCGAGGACCATTTTGGAGATGAGAAAACTTGGATTTGAGATCCATTTACTCA